AGCGTGAGAAGGAGGTGAGAGACGAGCGACCCTCGAGATTGACTCGTGATCAACGCCAAGAACCTCAGCGCGACAAGGATAAGGATGAATCTCAAGAGCGTTGTCGAAATGAAAGACAGCGCGAGCGTGATCGTGATCGGGATCGGGATCGAGAAAGGGAACGCGAACGCGACAGAGAGAGAGATAGAGATCGTGAACGAGAACGGGAACGTGATCGCGAGCGGGAAAGAGATCGTGAAATACGAGATCGAGATCGCGATCGGGACCGAGAAAGAGAGAAGTCTATAAAATCACGAGAAAGGGATGTGTCTACGGTAATTCCACCCGCGACATTGAGCCTATCGGCGGATAAGGGTTCACGTTACAATAACAGAATCAAGGAAAGACCCCTAGGTAAGGATGTGTCGTTTGAAAAGAACAGCGGGACTCGCGAACGAAATAGAAACGAACGTGAACGGGAACGTTCTGAAACGAAAGCTCTCGCCGAGCGTGAACGGAACTCCACGCAGTCACGACTGGATGGAAGATACGAAAGAAATAGCATTGCCGAGAAGGACGTATCGTCAAGTCGCGGCAAGTCGACTGTCAATTCACCTCGGGATCGCATGGATCGCTTTCGGGAAACGTCTTTAGATCGTACAGCCTTGCACGAGAAGAGTGGGCACGCCGCGACGTCGTCGAGTGTTCAGTCAACAGCGACGTTACCGCCCGTAAAAATACCTCCGGCTTCATCTTCCTCATCAGTAGTAGCTGTGACACCCTCTCTATCGTCTCGCGATCATCTTATAGACATGGTGGACGGTCACTATGACAGAGATAGGCACAGAAGGTTCGGTGTGAGATATGAACGGGGTCATACGTCAGAGCACAGTAGTAGAAAGGATCAGGCACGAATTGAATCGAATCGCATTCCGAGCAAAATCAACCGGATAGTGGATCGTCGGGATGCAAACAGTCCGCGACGTACCATGGAGGTGGACAGGAACTTTGGTAGGAACTACGGCAGATTGCCGGAGCAGTGGGAGGAGCAGGAGGAATCGGCTCCACACGTTGAGTATCGGGATCACGCTCACATTCATGAGGATGACAGAAGAAAAACTATCGAGGGAAGAAGGTTTGACAGTCCCTTTGAAGAGAGACGCGTTGCTCGCGACGAGAGATCCAGAGAAAAAGCGAGATATGTGATTCAAACTACAGAGCGACCATCCTTCGATGATCATCGTCATCATCACCATCATCATCGACATCCTCTGTATCCTGGCGATAAGATGAGAAGTGGTGGAGCTAGTATCAGGTAATAATTAACGTACTAATATAAACTATAGAAATATTCTCTCTTTCTCTCTCTCTCTCTTTTTCTAAAAGTTAGTTCGAAATAATATTGAATTATACTTTTTGAGAATATTTAATTTAATTTAATTTTCTATGTGTTATTCTTTCACTAAGATAGTATTATTCTATTCTAACAGATAATTTTTTATCAGATCTGAAACATTTTATATGTTGTGATAATATCTTACAATTATAAATTTTTCTATTTCTTTTTTTTCATATTACTGAAGTTTTGCTCTTATTATTAATTATTTTCTATTTTAGAGATGAAACTGTTCCTAACGATAATTGGGAAGGACATCACCGTGATGTGGAACACGGTCGAGACCGTAATTATCAGGCGGTAGAATGGGAAGAAAGGGAATGGCGCAATAGACCATTATGGGAAAACAGAGATAGTCTTCCTCGTTCGGAAATACATGACGACGAGTGGAATTCCAGATATGATAATACTATAAACGACTGGAAGCCTAATGATGCACGGAAATGGGATAATCAGAACGTTCACGTTCGATCGCATTATAGAAACGATCGTTCGAAGGACTTGGAGCACGGAGAATCTACACAACATAGGTAAACATAAAGTCTTACCGTCTTACAAGATTAAAATAAAAATAATTATAGTATGTATATGTTTGTATCATACGGGATGAGGCATCTAAAACAGGTCACCTAAATAACTGGCTTGTTTTTGATGATACGAAAGAATGTTTCAGATGAAAGTGGAACGGTTTCAAGGGGAACGTGTTTTAGATGCCTCACTCTCTATTAGTATCAAAGCATGTTAATTGAAAATAATTCTTATAGCAAAAGACGATCGTATAATGCGCCGGAAACAAGAGAAGAGCCAGTGATTCATCCTTCTGCTAAGCAAGCTGCTATTTATGGTAGTATGAAAGAAGAACCTATTAACAAGAAATTGATGGAACTTGCTGAAGGTAGATTGTGCACAACTACTAGAGAAAAGTCTACGGATAATTTCCAAAAGAAGAATCAGCAAAAAGATAAACCCGAAATTAAGGAACCTGTTGCGATAGAACCAAAGCGTCCCATTGTCGATGAGTCTTTACAGACCCTTCATACCGAGAGCGACTTGAGTGATATCAGCGATGATCCTGATGATATATTGAATATGGAAGAAGATGCTACAGTACATATCTTATATTTTTATTTTTTTGTTTGTTTCGAAATGTGATATTTACACTTTTATATATAATTTTTCAACAGGATATGGAAAATAATAAGACGCGAATAAATAAGAAAGCATCGGATGCTGCTCATCGTGATGCGCAGTCAACAGTACAAGAGCCAGTTCAATTATCTCCAAAAGAACCTGCAGAAGAAACTATTTTCAGTTCAAAATCCAAGGATAATGCCGATACAGTATCATTGAAGTAAGATATATAGATTATAAAATGTTAAGAGATAAAATGTTTCTGTTAAGGAAAATATTTGATATTAAAATTAATTCGGCGCTCAATTCGAAATACTACAAATGTGGGTGGTATATTTTCATATGAAATTATTTAGAGCACTTTTGAGATCAAGTTTCAACCGGTACAAGCATTACTTCTTACTTATTGTGTGTTCATATTATACGATTATAATAAATCATTATTATTGTTTGTTTGATATTCTGTTCGTAGTTTGTAATAGAAAAATATGCGATTATCTTTAAAAAATTTTAATTCTTTTTATTCAGATTGCTTTATTTACGCGAACGCTCTAATTTTATATCTAAAACATCAAATTTTATATCTGACTCTCTCTATTGTACTAAGGAATATGGAAGACGATAATATGGAGACTATGGACTTTGAAGAAATTTCTGATGGTGAGTTAGAGGAGGACATCAAAACGAGTGGAAAAGGACTAGGTGATGCCTTAGGAGTCGATTGGGAATCTCTTGTGAAGGAAACGCAAGCAAGGAGAATAGTTCCGTCCAATCAAGACTCTGCGGAGAATCGATGGCAGTGTAAAGCTATTTTTTATAGAATCGGTATATCTAAGAAATATGCGGGTGAAGATTTCATGAAAAAGCTGGTAAAAAAGTATGAGAAGAATGGTAAGTTTCAATAATTTTATTAAAGTCAGAAATAGGTCTCTGTATAAATAAATAATTAAAAAATTTTTATAGATCATAAATTTTTGCTGAATGATATTGCGCTAATGCACACAGCGCTCGCGCGAAATCGGTTACTTCGAGATTTAGGTAACGGCGCAATGCATTCTGTAGATGATACTTTGTATAGGTAAGATTTTAAATTATTCTTATATTTAAAAGTGCAATTTATTTTAAATTATGTGCATTATAAATTATAAACGTCAATTAGTTATATTATAAAGTTTAACAATGTGTAATCATTAATAAAATAAAATTGTGTCGTAGAAATAATAATGCAAATTATGATGAAGATGTGGACTACGATTGGGAAACATTAAAGCCAAGTACTGCTTTGTACGAAGAAGCGAAATGTTTATTACAGCAAGTAATATAAAAATAAGATTTGTATATAAAATTATTAGTAATCATTGTGTTCTTGTAATATTTATGCATATAAAGTATATAATACATATAAAATGTGTGTGGGATACAGCACAAGTAGTAAACAACAAAAATTTAAATTATTTTATTAAATAGAATGTACATTATGTATTAATATTTGTGATCGAGACAAATTTAAAAACACAATTATTGGAAAATATACAAGATGCACAAATATGTTGTTAAACTTCAAAATTATGCTTTGAAAATGAAGATTTATATTTAAAAAATTTTTATATTATATTTTGTTGCAAAGTAACACCTTGTCACTACTCACGCTACCCTGTATTGCTCCAGTATGCGTACGTGCAATTGTAGTATAAAACTTTTTAAAACATTCCGCGTACCCTAGAATGAGGCTAGTTATGTTCTAAATATTAAACACAACTATAATTGAGATTTAGTACATACGTGCTACGCATATTATTAATTTAACTTTTAATGGGAGCCCCCACTACTGTTTACTGCACATGCGCAGTATAACTTCGAAAAGGACAAAGACACCACTTGAAACGTTCTCTCTCTCTCTCTCTCTCTCTCTCTCTCTCTCTCTCTCTCTACTCTCTCTCTCTCTCTCTCTCTCTCTCTCTCTTATCACTGTTAATAAAGGCGGCGAGAAGCCGTATTGGTTACGACGTTGACATCGCCGATGTCGCAGCCAATAAATAGCGAGATTCTAATCAAACTAGGAATCCAGCAGAAAAAAACAGATATTGCATGCCGCCAGCTTAAATATTTCTTATAGCTAAAACAATTACATACTCTCTAATTTAAAAAATTAATGTTTTATTATGTTATTTATACATGTCGTTTATTATTTAGTTATTAATGAATAATTGCATATGCAATCTCTTTTGGTAAGTATTGATAGATATATATCAACAATATTTAATAAATAAAAATTTAAATTTTTAATACGATTACTTGGGGCTTTCTGCTTGGGGTATGTTGAATAGAGATAGAGGTCAGCATTTGTGGTTGGCGGGAGCCATTTCGATAAAAAGAACTAGATGTGTTCGAAAACGTCACTCGACTCTGGTTAGGTGTCCTCTAGTATCATATCCTTGTTCAACATTGGGTAGCAACAATTAGGATAAAACGATATACATATATATATGTAGATTGTAGATAACATAACGTTCCCGAACGCAGTCTAGACTAGAAGTATTGATCCACTGTGCAAGATAACTCCGGTAATTGTTCAGTTTAATATGTATAACTATAAAATTAAATAAAAAATATATCAATCGACATGTTTTATTGTGAAATAAACGAATGTGACAGAAAAAAGTGTCTCTTCACCCTATGAACTAAGATATTAATTATTAAAGTTGCCGAGATTATTCAGGTTAGGAAATCTGTCACAGCAATAAAAAAAAAAATCTTTTTTTATTCTTGCTATTCATATGGAATCATTTGTGGGTTTCCAACTTGGCACGCAAAGCAAGATGTGAACCATTTTCTGTTCCTGCACTAATCTGCACTAGAATTCGCTTTCGACAAATATCAAATCTATCTCATTTTAAATTCCAAAAATGCATAGTATATATACACTAGTTCAGTCACAGAAAACAGAGCTTTAATACAAAAAAAAGAAAAGATTGGCATAGTTTTTTTTATGGTGGTAGCAGAGCGAGAATCTTTCGCACGTATACATATATATGTACTTTGCGATAATTGCGATAATTGTGATTGTCGTGAATTCGTCCTCTTTCTCCTCCTGCAATCGCAAAGTATATGAAGGATTCTCAGCCGCTTTTTAATAATTCATGTTTTACCTTCACAACTTTTTTAATCTAAATAATTTTTACAACTAAATTAAGACCCAGAATTAATATTACACAATTTTCAGGTTAGCAGATATTAATTACCACATTTTTTTAAAATGGCTACTACTGATAATGATACAATAATAGATCAAACTTTGTCAGAGAGATTGATGGAAAAAGGACGAAAATCACCGTTTCTTGTTGCAAGTATGTCAGCTATTTTTAAAGCACATAAAATGTAAATATATTTGTCATTAATATCTAATACATGTATTGTTTTCTAAATAGGTTTGATAAGTTTAGCAGGTATCTGTGGCTATGGTGCTTATGGTTTTAGGAAGAAAAAAATATCTACACAATTATATTTACTACAACTCCGAGTTGTGGCACAAGGAACAGCAATAGCTTGCTTGACGATAGGAATGGGATACCACATGATAAAGAAGTATATTTTACATGATGAAAAAGAACCATAATGCTTAATGCTAGATTAATAGCTTAACTGTTTCAAAAATAGGAATTAGAAAAATAAAAAGTATATTGTCCTTATATTTATTTAAAAATGTAATAAATGTAATTATTTTATTACAAGCTTTACCGACTTAAATTATATTTCTAATAACATTATTAATTTTTACGAAAATGATAATTTCTTCAAATATACTGAACCATTGAGAATGGCAAGTGATACTTTATCAAGCCTGATACAGCTAGTTACAATAGCGTTTATCTTTTCTTTTTTTCTTGCAAAATAATATAAGCATTCCTACCGAAATTGAACAGATTACCTAGCGCAACCCATTAAGGCCGCAGCACACACTTTTGCAGGACGCATAATACATGATGCATAAGAGATCAACAAATCATAATCCTTTTTCTCTCACTTCACGGAAGAGAAGCATTTTGATTGGTTGATTCTCTTATCAATTATAGAGAATTATTTTTCTCGCATTTAACAATGATTGGTCAATTTCTTTACGGCTTAGGGCCTCTTAAAGCGAGGTGTGGACCCAGCCTTATTGACCAATCAGAAGAAAGAATTTTCCGAATTGACCAATCAAAGAATGCTTCAGAGCATTTGCAGCGTGAATTTGATTGCACCTTCTAATTATGTGCGGTACCGAAATTAAATGGCATCTAATCACGTGATTTAACAACCAATCAAGCCTATTCTCTTCAACGTCGCATCTCCGTTATATAGGATTTTAGTATGAGCTTGCTATTCGTTGTTTACAACAAAATTGCTCAATGAGTAATTTTGATCACGTGATTTATTTTTGGCGAATTGGTAAGCTAAAGCGGGGAGCACAGACTTTTGCATAACGCATAAAGCATGTGCATAAGAAATTTCATTGGTCCATTTTCTTATGCATGAGTCAATGGACCAATCAAATTCTTTATGTATATGGTTTATGCGTTATGCAAAAGTCTGTGCTCCCCGCTTAACAATGGGCGCATTCAGCAGAAAAGAGCGCTACGAGAGCGCTCGCTGTTATTGGTATATTCTTCCAGATTTAAAATTCTGATTGGATGATCTAAAAGAATACACCAATAATAGCGAGCGCTCGTGTAGCGCTCTTTTCTGCTGAATGCGCCCAATTGTTCAATGCTCAACGTTCGATGCTGATGCTGTTGCCCAATGTGATGGCACCTTAACAGACCATGCAGACTTCGCATTTGAAGTAGTTTTTAAAAAGTACTTTAAAGTTTGCATCATGCAGTACTTAACAAGGTACTCAGAGCGATATTATATGATGCCAAGTCGGATATTTAATTTCCCATCCAAAAGAATTTATTTTCCAAGTGAAAAATTTGTTTACGACGTTAAACACTTGAGTTACGCGCACAACAATAGAGCTCATAGGTTATTTCTTTCTATGTCTTATCATGTAAGTATCAACATGTTTTGTGTCAATATTTTATTCCGATTTCTATTTATTTTTATATTTATTTAGCTAATTAATTTTTAATTTATCTCATTAAACAAACTGTCCACGATATGAAATGGATTGGCAGTAGATTATTCAGATATTGCAATAGATCATGTGTGTGTTCACTTTTAAAGATATAATATCTCATAGCATTACCAAAAATATAAGAATTTAATAAAATGTTCTATTACTACGTGTATATATCTATATAAAAATTGAGTATCAATTTTTTTCATTGATGTGAGTCATTTAATTTTTTTTGTTTGCTTTGGTTCTTATGTAAAATTGCATTTAATAGTACTTACTTGCAAGTTTGATAAGGTTATAACATTAGAAATTAAATTTATATGCTAATAAAATTTAAATAAATGTTTTTGTTTATTTGGATCTACTTGTTTTAATGTTATTTACCTAAAACTACAGCAAAATATAAAGCCTGTTTTTTTCAGCTGAATTTATCTTACAGGGTTCATTTTTTCTCTTTTTTTTTTCAAGGTAAGAAATATGAACTGTGAAAGTTTAGCAAAAAAGAACTTATCTATGATAATTCTGCTGTAAAAAATTTAATTATTATTAAATTATTTATATATATAGATATATATATTATTACGTTGAAAATTATTTCTTTGTATTTGGTTTCAGAATATATTTATAACAAAAATTTTTTTATTAATGTTTGTTGATATTAGTTGATATTGTACAGCTAAAACATTCTTAAACTTTTGTTTAATTAATACAGCAAACTTGTAATATCATTTAATTAGATTATTAACAAAAATTGAATAGATTTGATTCATCATTTCATCTATATTAAAATGGAATTATTTAAATGATAATAAAAGAACAGTGTTTGTCTCATTTCTACGGTCAATATATTATATTCTACATTTATATTTTTTTTTAGTATTTAATTGACAAAATTTCTAACATATACTTTCAAAATCTATTTTTGATAAATTTAGCTATTCCAGTAATAATCAGCCTAATTGATCTTTATATAGATATAATATTGATATTATATATAGATATAATATATGACAGAAAAGAAAATTATTAATAAGATGTTCCTACATAGTCAAATTTGTTTGAAAACGGATTTTATAAGGTATCTACTGCAAATTTTATCAGAAAAAATCCAACAAAAGTAGTGAAATTTACTAATATAAAATATGATGGCAAATTAAATACAAATATCAAGCAATGTCTGTCATTTTATAATTTAAATAATATATTTTATTAAAATGATTAACTAGATGATAGATTAGTTTCTGTTAATAATCTGTGATGAGATTATGTCTACAGTTTTTAGAACACAAGTATTAATACAGATACAACTGCCAATCTGTCATATTCTATTCTATTCTAATAGAATATATAATATTCTGTTAAAATTTGATTGCGAATTGCTAGCTTTCTATTAATATTTTACTGGATTTATTTTTAGGCTTATAAGAAAATTTATAAAGAATTTCATGCTGTGCAGTCGACATTGATGTGCAGTAGCAAATATAACTTTTCTCCAAGATTTAATATTAGGTATTTTAGTACTACATGTAGTAACTCCAATAAACAATCACCAAAGAAATCGGACTCAGAAAATTCAAACAAGAAGCCTGACGAAAATGGAGATATAAAATCAGTTCTCACTAAGCTCTCCATGTGGCTTATATTATTATATGTTACCTTAATTGCATTGAAATACCAGATAGAAATGTATTCAAATTCAGAAGTAAGTATTTTTTAATAATGATTTGTCACAGAAATTATTTAAGAAGTATAAAGTGTTATAATGTTGTGGCATAGCCCGCAGCTTCTGTCTCCTGGAATGAATTTGTATACGACATGCTGAATAAAGGAGAAGTTGAAGCGATTGTTGTAAATCCTACAATTGATCATGTTATAATTGTGGTACATGATGGTGCTATTATTAAAGGAAGGAGAAGCTTGTACAAGAGATATCATATGGCTGTTCCAAATATTGAAAATTTTGAAGAAAAACTGAGGAAGGTGGAAAAAAATCTTGGCATAAAAGCAGGTAAATAAATCGCTTGCAAAGTATTAACAAATATTATGTACTAAATTAACCGTCTTTTAATAAAATGTTTTAGGTCAAGGAGTGCAAGTAATTTATGAAAGGAAGATAGAATATATAGCGAGTATTATAAGACTTGTACTTATTGCGTTGATAACCGCAATTGCTTTTAGTTTTGTGAGAAAACGTTTCTCTTTTAAACCTTTTGAAATTATTTCGCAAATGAAACAAGCAAAATTTACTCTAGTCGAACCGTTGATGGGAAAGGGTAAAGGAGTACGTTTTGGGGATGTAGCTGGATTAAAGGAAGCTAAAATAGAAGTGATGGAGTTTGTTGATTATCTGAAAAAACCAGAACGTTATAAATTACTGGGCGCTAAAATACCACAAGGCAAGTGCATCAAACACACACACATTTTTATACAAATAAAACATTCTAAATTTATACCAGAAAATTAAATTCTGAAAATATAATCCTATCTTCAGGCGTTTTGCTTTTGGGACCCCCTGGATGTGGTAAAACATTACTGGCTAAAGCTGTGGCAACTGAAGCGAGTGTTCCTTTCTTATCTATGAATGGTTCCGAGTTTATTGAGGTATTCGGTGGTTTAGGTGCTGCTCGAGTCAGACATTTGTTTAAAGAAGCTAAAAAGAGGTTTGTCTATTTTTTTCTTAAGTTTATTTCAATGATACTTTAATTAATATTTGATACTTTAATTCCTTTTAGAGCACCAAGTATTATATACATCGATGAAATTGATGCAATTGGCAAAAAACGTTCAGAAAGCTCACTCGGAATTGGTGACCGAGAATCTGAACGAACATTAAATCAACTTTTAGTCGAAATGGATGGAATGATAGCAAAAGAAAATGTCATTATATTGGCCTCAACGAATAGAGCGGAAGTATTGGATAAGGCATTATTAAGACCTGGCAGATTTGATCGACACATTTTAATAGATCTTCCTACGTTAGAGGAAAGACAGCAGATCTTTGAGACTCATTTAAAGAAAATATCTCTAGAAGACGAACCTTCGAAATATTCGAGATACCTGGCTTTTCTTACACCCGGTTTCAGTGGTACTGCATTTATTTATAAAAACAGATTTATATATAGATTATTTTAATAATTGCATGAATAAATAATTTTTCAGGTGCTGACATAGCAAATGTTTGTAATGAAGCCGCACTACATGCTGCGAGAGATAAGAAAAAACAAGTAGATAGTAACGATCTTACATATGCGATTGACAGAACAATTGGTGGTTTGACAAAAAGAAATAATCCATTAACACCGTCTACGAAACGCATCGTCGCTTACCACGAGGCTGGTCATGCATTAGTAGGATGGTTAATGGAACATACTGATGCTTTGCTCAAAGTAACGATAGTGCCACGAACAAATTTAAAACTAGGATTTACGCAATATACTGAATCCGATCAGAAGCTCTATAGTAAAGAGCAACTCTTCGAACGCATGTGTATGACATTAGGTGGTAGAGTTGCGGAATATGTGACATTTGATAAAATCTCGACGGGCGCCGAAAATGATTTGAAGACCGTAACAAAAACGGCATATCTTCAGGTCCAACAATTTGGAATGAGTCCAGCTGTGGGTTTAGTTTCTTTCGACGAACATACTAACACGGTATAGGATAATATTTCTCTGAGTTTTCTATTCATTATATTTGCGAGTACCATATTTAATATCTTTTTTTTTTTTTTTAGAAAAAAAAACCATATAGTAAAAAGTTAGCAAATTTAATGGATGCCGAAGTAAGAAGAATAATAGGCGAAGCATATGAACGGACTCGACAGTTACTTTTGGATAACAAAGACAAACTAGACACAGTATGTATATATATTTAGAATAATAATTAAACAATATCACATAAATTTGCATGAATAAAATATTTGATAAATCCTCGACAACATATATCAATTCCAATTCGTGTTGATATATGTTGTCAAGGTTACAATCTTGAATATCATTCAAAAGGTTTTATCTATTGCTCATTGTTTACTAAAAAATTATTAACAAAAGAAGTTCCAAAATTAGTTTTCTGATACTAGGTTTATTGAATATATCTATTAAATTAAATATATCTAGTTTCATACACAAGTACTGGGCTCCGGACAGCTTCAGACAACTCCAGGAAGAATGATCCTGTCCCTCCATCTTTTATCTTTAGTAAAACCTAGAGCTCAAGAACAAAGCTCTCTCTCTCTCTCTCTCTCTCTCTCTCTCTCTCTCTCTCTCTCTCACCCCTCTCCTATATGTCGTATACTCAGTGATATACTTTAATTCGTATACAGGTGAGGAGGATTACAGAGGGAGGAAGGAGTTCATCCTTTCTCTTGCCTATATATCATAATATAACTTAATTTACAAAAATATAATAGGATATAATTTACAAAAATATAATAGGAATTTAAATGTATTGTGATTTAAACAAAAAGAATATGATTGAATATGTATTATCGTTATAGTAAAACTATAATGCATACCAATTTGTAATACAACTATAATTGCTACCAATTTGTAATACACGATATATTTGCTCTTGTTTTATCTAGGCTGGTATTCATAGTTAGTTCTTATATTAAAGACCATTTTAAGCTCAGTCTTGAGGTCTCACAATCAGAAGGCTGCATTAACGTCTTAAAACGATCTTGAAATAAGAACCGACTATAAATCTTTTCAGTTTTCATTATTTTTAGTGTTATATTATAGATTTATTTAGTGTACTGTAGAGATTCATTTATTTAATAAGACAAAGATTAATTTAGTATATAAAATAAAAGGTATGCATATTCGTACAAAAACGTAAAGCGAAGTTTCACATAGATTAACAACTAAAAATCATGGTCTATTTAAAAAATTTTTGTTAAAACTTAAACAAACAACATGCGATTGCTGAAATCTTTTGAATATCGGTTATGGCCTTGATATAATGGCTATGTCAAAGTTAAGGTGGAAGAGATTCCCTAACAGTAGTTTTACTAAATATTTTTATTGAGCACAGCTTGCGGAAGCTCTGTTGAAGAAGGAAACATTGTCATATAATGACGTGGAAAAATTAATTGGACCGCCACCCTATGGAAAGAAGCGACTTGTAGAACCAGCAGAATTTGAAAATTCTGATCCAGCTAGAGAATCCCCCTCGGTAGAAAGAGAACCCGCAGAATGAGAAATTTTTTATATAGATATTTATATTCTGTATATATATATATATATATTAGTAAAAGATGAAATATATTAAATATATTAAACTATTTTTTGATAAATGTATAGGATTTGTGTAAAATACCTTTTTTATTATATAGCGCGCGCACGCGACGCGCACACACACACACACACACACACACACATACTGTATATACTTTTTTATTTGTGTATCATGCATCTCACATCTAGTTTCTGTGACCTACAATTAAATTTAAATAGCGATAATAAATTATATCATTGAAATGGGAGAATTATATTTTTATTTCAATGAGTAGAAATAAAAAATTTCATTATAACACATAGTTGAAAAATATAGAAAATATAGATTTAAAAAATTGTTAAATCTAAATCACTTCGTATAGTCATTAGTACATCTTTCTTATTTTTTTCAATAAAAATACATACATATACTTTTCTTTTTAAATATATATATATACATTGTGTTTATGAACAACTAAGATATACCTTATGATGACAAATAATTAAACGTCTTGAGCTATAACACATTTTTGTGAATTTTAGAGATACAACCACAAAATTAAATATTCAGCAAAGTAAATACTCGTAAGTACTTGCACTTGATTGGTTTTTATGTAAAAAAAAAAGTATATGTCAAACACATGTAGTCGCGTAACAGAAATTGCATCTTAAGATGTTTGTATGTGGTTAATTATGAAATTTATATTTCGAAAAAAACCGTTATCTTAGCAATATTAAAAAGGAAGATTAGAAATATAAATTCTAAAAAATTATTTAGGTTATTTAATAATTTATAGTATTTATATTGAGATAATATAATTATTAGCAGTAATCATTAAATTATTTAAGAAAAGATCTAGTATCTCATAATACAATTATCAATATAATGATCAATATTGTCAAAATAAAGTTTATATTAGTTTACGATGTTACTTATATATATAGCACAGCTAAAATAAACAAAATAAAATATATTATTAACTTAAAAAAATATAAGGAATAATGGTAATAATATAACAATACTATTATATGTCTATACCACACATTATTGTGGTCGAATATTTTGAATAAGCGAGATAATATTGCATATTTATCATTGGCATTATAAATTGTAGGAATAGTTAGTATTTACTCAAAATTTAAACTAAGGACGATTTTGATTTTTTGTTTGTGCTTTTCTCAAGGCATTTATTATGGAACAAACCAGAATGAATTCTGATCGACATTATTCCATTTTCTTCAGAAAATACAATAAAAATCTAGGGAATAATTGAATAATTCTGATCGGAATCAATTCCGAATAATTCTATAATATATACCCAGTTCTTCAAGCATGCACCTCTTGACCTCTATCACATTTAATATCGCGATACTCTTATTGTTTAACAATTAAATCTTTGATTACGCCATTAAGAGCTCGTTCCAAGTGCGAACCGTTCCAATATATTTTTCCACAATGCTCGCAGACATAAAAAACCTGCACATTTTTCAGTACATTTAGTGGGATTTTATCAATTTGTATTCGCATGTTGTATTTGGTCGTACATGTGTCAATGTTAAGAGTATCTACGGATAAACGCCATGTACGATGTTCGCTATTTGTAAAATAATTATTTCGATTTCGAACAACTTCAAAATCATCATTCGAATCGGAGTTATCAGCATTTGTTTCTACTGTATTGTCAGCTTGATTAGGCAATACTCGATAATTGTTTCTTCTTATAATTTTCACGAAGCTAGTAGTAAAATAAAAATTTTATTATATGAAATTGAAAAAAAGAAGATATATGTATATAAATAACTAAATTGAATAAATCAATTCACCTTTGCATAAGAGCATCCATTAGTTTCTTTGGAACTTTCACGAATTCATCAAAATTACATATTTGGCATCGACTAAAAATATCATTCTGCGTTACTACAATACCAAAGTGATTTAAAACTTCACGTAGTTGGTTGTCAGCTGTGTCGGCCATTATCCTGTAGCATTTCTCCATCGATAAATACTGCTTAAACTAATAGAAAATATTAAAATAAGATATCTAAATTAATTGTTGATATAATACGAAAACAGATCTTACTTTTTCGTAATTCTTGTTACGCGTTAATAGAATCCTATTTTCGCGCATTGCCAATTTCGCGGAATCGTCTCCTCCTTGATCAAATAATACATGTATGCAATCTATACCACATAAGCGCAATTTACTGCTTAAACCACCCAACATTGAATCGCATACAACGCGCCATGTATGTGCAGGGATTAAATCCCAATTTCGTCGTTGTATGGGTTCAGATTTATTCGTATTTTGTCTGTTTGGAGTATTTCGTCTACCTTGAATATCTTCCCATCTATCCTGTTTGTCGTATCTATTACAATCGCGTCTACTTTGGCTACCACATCTACTTTGTGGATCATATTTATGATTATCGTATCTTCCATTAGCTATTTGATTTATTCTGACATTTGCGTGTTTATTCTGATTATGATTATCACGATTATCATATCTTCTTTGGTTATCGCGTCTTTTATCATTAACTATTTGGATTATTCTAGTATGTGCACTTTTATCATGATTATCATGATGATCATATTTTTTCTGGTTATCATATCTATTATCATTGGTTAATTCACGATATACAGGTCTACTCTGATTCTGTTTATTATATCCATATTTGGATGTAGACTTGTGTGCTATACCATATTTTGGTGAAGTCCCTACATTCGTGCAGTAATCCTCATTGTCTCTATTAGGTATTGTTGGATTTGAATACGTATATTTCTATAAAACGGTTAATAATGAAATCCCTAATATAAGAAATATATAATTAAATTAACTTAATATATTTATTAACCCTCTATCTGCAATCTGTTTTAGCGTAAGTAAAATTACACTTTCAAATTCTTCGAAATAAGGGGAACGATAAAGTCCAGTTCCTTTTCCTAAAATATCTTGTCGAAAACCTATTTGTTTCAAACTTGAATTTTTCCACATTTCTTGAAAGCCTACAATAGTAAAAAATAAAAAAAAAAAAATTTTGGACTGGACGGAGACAGTAAGAATATGATTGCAGACGAGGAGTTAAAATGTTGATTCTCTTAAAATAAAAAATAGAAAATAAATCATATTATATAGTATATATTTTTATACAAGTCAATTATTCTTTGACATTAAAGAATAGTATAGTAAAAGAAAAATAAAGATACATCTAACATGAAAATAACGTTTTCACAATAAAGATAATATTTTCGTTATGATTATATGAAAAATATTACTAAAAAAATATATAATTACACTTTTTCTTATTAAAGCATTATTATGTTACGTTCACATGTATTAACATAATTTGTTGCAACTTATACCTTATGTGCAGTTTTATTCGTATTAGTTTTTGTATGTGTATGCGGAATACCCTGTATTTCAGCGCAAATATCTTCAAACGGTATGGTCATATCTGCTGAATAATCTGCTAGTACATTGTATACTTCCAACAAACAATATGCATCTAGTGCTGTCACATAATAGATACACACACATACACACATATATATATATATATATAGTGACAGGAAGAATAATATATTAATAAAATTAAAACGATTACTAACCAGCATATATTATTTGACTTTCCCTCAATGGTCTCAGTTCCCAATTTGAAAATTGATCAGACTTATCGAGTCTTTGTCCAAAACATAATTCCACAAGTTTACTTAAGCTTCTATTTGTGAAACTTGGGTCACCTTTGTATGGGAAAATAAAATTGTATTCTTCTACTAATTTTGTCCATAAAAATATTAAATCAAGATATCCTTGGCCATATGCTTTAATAGATGATAAGGCAGGTAAACTATTACGTATTACAGCCGTGTCTTGTGCTATTCCAAATCCTATATGAAAAATTATTATATTATTATTATTATTGATATATAATTTTAATATCTCTCACATTTATACTATTCAATATATAAACTATGCTCTCGAGATGAAAATAATAATTAATAACGGGCGATTAAGGACAAAACTATTGCAGTACTTCGGGCATTTTAAATTTAGGGCCATGACACACAAAAAACGTACGGCAGTAAAGCTAATTTGATCAAAAAGACAAGAGACAAACAGCAAGAAACAGGAAACAAAAAGCACATTATAGAATTAGCTTAAGATGTAAGAAATAAAGAAATGAATATGTATTATTAACTGCTACTTATATTATGGCCTTACGGACTATATTGTGATTAATCAATTCGCTTACTGCTTACGTTTTGTTGCTTAAAGTTTTTTCTACATCATGGCCCTTAGGGAGTCGACATATATTAAGCAACTTAGTCAAACAACTAAATGAAAGTTCAATCTTCAAACAAGGAATTAAAGATGCTCATTCTGTTGCTATTTTGCGCCAAATCTAATGCAACTGCTCTATAGAATTTTGTTTTGTATATCACTAAAAATAACTTAAAAAGAATCGAAATGTTTAAAATTATAATATAGGAAAGAAAAATTAAAACAATAAGTTTAAAACGGACGAAGTAATACGATAGTTTTGCCCTCAATCGTTAGTTATTAATTATTATTTATATTATTGAATGTCAGATGTAACATAAAATAATTAAATTAATTCTATTTTCAAAATAAGTGTAAAATATTAACACACGCACGCACGCACGCACGCACGCACACATATATACGTTATATCCCGTAAAATAATACAGACAATATATTATATTTTAGATAACTGAAAACACATACCAATTTTGATAATATCTTTATTTCCGAACAATACAAGACCAAGTTCATTCCAAAGTTCAGGTAATGTATTGCCAATAGTAGTTATATCCAAAATGTAGACATTATCCTCAGTAGCTACTTGCATAAGTGCTAGTTCAGGTTGTTTAGTTCCTGATAAAATATATACATTTTACTTTAATTATACATTAAAATATATTAAAAATAATAGATATAATAGGGCTATCAACCAAATGATACATTTTGTAATCAGAGATTATATTATTTAATTAAAATATATTCTATAGTTCATTTATATGTTTAGATTTTGATTATAATTACCAAAGCTAGGTTTCCACTCTAAATCAATTCCAACTATATGAACATCCCTCAATCCGTTATCAAGAAATTCTTCGAATAATCGTCTATCATCTACTAATTTGATGTTTTCTCTCGGTAATTTTAAAATATGATAATTTACATTATCCTTATTTGGTTCCCAAGTTTTATCTCTACTTGTCGAAGCGCCCTCATTTATTACTGTAAACTATAACATTATGGATACTTCTCAAAATGCAAATATAAAAATATAGATAAAAGCATTATTACGTGATGCATTCTGTTCTTCTACATCTACAATAGCCCACGGCCATTCATCTTTAGGTATTTCATATTCCTTTGCCCAATATAAACCTTCTTTTGGGTCATTGGCATTAATTAACATACTTAGTAACTCTGTTTGTAATTTGGCATCATTTCCTACTGCTTCTTTTACCATTTCTCTCCAACTGGCAATATCTATATAACAAAAACATGTACTAAAATTTTTATTTTTAAGTGAAATCTTCCTAGATTGTAATATAAAAAAATGGATAGTTACTTAAACTACCATCCACATAGCGCTTATATATAAGGAATTGCAATGCTCCTTCATTTCGTTTTGTGTTTAAATGAGGGCATACATCGGGTGATAAATTATATTGCTTTATTAAACGTGCAATAAGCTTGGTTATTGGACGAATTTGTGTCAATGATATCTTAACTTCTGGTATATCATTTGTACTACAAAAATTCAGTTCAGTGAAAATCTTTATTATGTAATAATTAATATCAGATTTGAATGTTTAATAAAAAAAGTGTTACTTACTAAACAAATTGTTCCAATATAATCTGTACATTTTTTCCTGGTGCTATTAAATTGTCTAAATAAGTTGTTAATGATCTTTGAACTTCTGGACAGCCTGTTAAAAATTTATCAACTATTTGCAATTTATTTTGTAGTATGAGAGGTAGTAATAATATTTCTGGGTCCATAAAATGACTTTGCAACTGTAACATTGCTATATATTGTGCAGCTTCTTTATATTCTTTTTCTTTTATTATATCCTAGAAAAGTATATACATGTATGTGTATATATATATATGTATGTACAAAAAAGAGAGAGAGAGAGAGAGAGACACAGAGAGAGAGAGAAAATACATACAGATACGTTGTATATATAAATATAAAATAGATTGTTATATTTCTAGCAACATACCTCTATTGTTGATAAGAATATATCTTTATGTTCTACAAAATCATATATAACAGATATCGCCTCTATTAACACCATCTGTTTCATATGTTTCTGTCTTACTAATTTAAATGTTGCTAGTTTCAAATCAGGAACAAGAAAATCTTTGTATCCTTCTTTCCTTTCTTCTATCCAATTCGAAAACTCTTCTATCACTATAATGCAATGAAAATTATAAGAAGCCTATAATTTTTAAGAGATTAGAATTGCAATCTATTATATATCTTTCAAAATATTGTCTAATAATTATAGAAAATTATTTCTATAGATTATCAACATTGAGAACTACGTTTTCTAAATTTTTGTATATGTAGAAAAAAAGAATGTAAACTTATTTTGATTAGTTTATATTTTTTTATTTTATATAATTATCAATCATTAGAGATATATATATTACTGATATAAAAATCACTACCTAATAATTCTATGTTAGCTAAGTTAATAAATTATAACTGTTATATGTCATATATTGCAAATATATTTTATATAAAATTAAGCTATAAAAAGTTGAAAAAAGTACCTGCAAATGCAAGTGATTTGTTGTTTGTCATGTGATCAAAATCCGAAACATTGACAAGAATTCTCAATGTGCTAAGATATGGATTTGGAGCAGTCTCGAAGTAATCCGTCAACGTTTTGCTGACACCGCTACATTTTTTCCCTACGATTGACATGATTACGCATTTAATATACGTAGTCAAGTGACAAAATATAACAAAACGCATGAGATAATATTGAAATGCTCACACAGTGACCACATTCGATGCAGAGTATCGAGCCATGTTTTCGTAGCATCATCTATAGAAGAGAAGAACAACAAATCCATATCAATGTTCTGACGTCGGCTCATCACTTAGAAATTCTCGAAAATTTTGAATTTCGTCCGTCGTTGGCAAATATGTCGGCTGTAGAGAATATAGCGAATTCGGATATTCTCGTTTTGGAAACACTCGAAAAGTCGACAATAGACAAATAGAAAATATCATGGAAGAACACGAATAATCGTAATATAAGAAACAAGAGAATAACAAAGGAATGCTATTCATTTGACATTACGTCACAATATTAACGAGAACAAACGTTGGCTGAGACCTCATCAAGCCACGTTCGTGCCTTATCACATCTATAGTCAAAGATATCGTGTTATATAGTATCTTCTGAAATCTGAAGTAGATTGGTTAAATCTCGATAGTGCTATCAAATACTATCGATAATTTTTACTATCGAATATATTCGAGAGTTTCAGAAACTATCGACATTTTAAGATGCTTTCACATGCAAACCCTATTGTAGAACGGGCTTAAGTTTTGGCCTTACGGCCTCTACTGTGATTGGTCAATTCGCTCACCTTAAGTTTTTTGTATACCATGCTTGATGTTAGCTCAATTTTTAGGTTAAATTAAATTTTGGCATGGAGAGACTAAAGCTAAACATGCATTGTCAAATATTATGACATAATTGAATATTTAATGCTCGACATGCACAGGTGATGTATTCGTAAATTATTCTTACATAACTCTTTGAGGTTAAGTATTAGTGCGAATAGTAATTATACAGTTTAGCACTCCGCAGCTTAAAAATTGATAAAATTAGGCTTATTCGTTTTTATACGAAATAAAAGAATCTGTCAAAAATAAATATCTTTCTGTCTTGAGAACGGAGGTATTAATCGGTAAAGTTAACGACTATTTAGGTCGGGAGACCAGAGAATTTCTTTTTATAAACACAAATTCTCTGCTTTAAAAACAAATTCTTTATTTAAAAACAACAATTATATATAAAATAATTTGTGTTTTTAAAACGGAGAACTTTTTGGGTTTGTAAAGTAGACAAATATCTAAAATGTATACATTTGTGGGGCTATAAAGTAGGAAAATATGACCACAGTACTTGTTCACATTGCAGTGTTGCATATCTGTAACAGATTTCTAATCTTTATTGATTAATATCTCGGTTCATATGACAGAGCTACTTTTATTTCTACTAGAAGAAAACTCTTTCGTTTCATGCAAAAACGCGTCAAATAAACCTAATGTTATTAATTTTTAAGCTGTAGAGTACTAAATTGTATAATTACCAGTTTATAAAACCATTTTAGGCATGCGTCGATCCTAACACAATTACCATGGAAATATGATTCTTCTAAGTGGAATTTATGGCGAATGTACAGAACACAAGCAAATTATAAAACTAAAGAATATGAAGGTCGCAAATTAGTGGGGTAATAAGAACTAAGAGAAAAAGATTTTTTGAGCAATCCTTTTATTTTAATTTTTGTGTGTTATTATATATTTTATAGTATATTAAATAATATTTAAAATAATGTTTATATTTACTGCAAACAATATAATTTAACATATTAGGCCTGTTCTTTTTAATGATCTTGCATAATTTATGTTTTTTCTTTTTTTTCACATTAGAGAGAAAAAGGAAAAAAATGAGTACTGTGCAAGAAATTCAGCTAAAAAGAACAGATTTATTTACTGATTCATATATATATGTGTATTATAAATTATATGTTTTCATTACAGAATATATCAAAGTATCCAAATTTTTTTGTTCTTTAGCTTTTCAATGGAGAAAATATACTATGTTGTTGCTGATGTAGGAAATTATAAAAATTTTTTACCCTTTTGCAAAAAATCTGAAATTACTTTGAAAACCGAAGACTTCTTGAAGGCCAATTTAGTAATTGGATTTCCACCTATACATGAAAATTATACTTCAACAGTGACTACAGTATGTCCAAGAATAGTCAAAGCCGAATGTAAAGATGGCAGATTGTTTGATCATCTAGATACCTTGTGGTTGTTTAGTCCTGGATTGAAAAATAATTTGGACACATGTGTAATTGACTTCTCCTTGTCCTTTGAATTTAAATCTACCATTTATTCTCAATTGTCAAATTTATTTTTTAATGAAATTGTGAGGCAAATGGAGAATGCTTTCCTTCAAGAGGCTGCAAGAAGATATGGCCAGCCATGTTTAAAAACAGTACAGCTACAAAGATGACACAAGATATGTATAGAAATCATTGAATATATTATACATAAATTTTTTTTTATTTAATAAATTTATCTATTGTTATCCAATTCTTTTTAAAATAAATGTATGTAACCTTAACAAGATTGTATAACAGTAATAAGACAATAAAGTTTATAGGTTCTAATAAATAAATCTAGAAAGAATAATTTAAAAAGGAACAAATACCAACAAGAGTTAACATTTATGGAGCGTTTAGGGCTATCGCACACAAAATTCAGTAACAATAATCATAAGAACTTAAGCCAATGAGCCAATTAGGATATTGCTTTAGATCTCATGATCCAAACCTCTTGTATACGCGCGTGCATGTGTCTTAATACTTTTATACAGACAATTAATTATGAATGCCGACCTTAGATCACATTAAATTAAATGTTTAAATATATCATTATAATATTCGTAAATTAATTTTTCAAAATTTAAATTTATATTAAATGAGTAAAGATTTAATAACTTTTGGAAATCTAATTTGATACAATATGTTTATATATTTAATGTAATATCAATCTAGAATTAAATTCTTTATCTTTTTCACATATTTTTAATAACTTTTTGATTTACTAAAATTCTATCTTACATTATGTCACAATCAAATTGTTAACTTTAGTATACATTGGTGTATATTTATTTTTACATTATATATATTTACATATTATATTTTCTCTACAGTCCGCGATTACGACTAAATTGATATTCCCTGTAATTACTGAAAATCTATATTATGTGTATCATAAATTTTCAGTAATGACAGTGAATATTAAACGCAGTTTACTTGTCTAACCTTCGACCGACATTCACATAGAGATCGTCAGACATATTTGTTTTCCCGCATTGCTAGTTTCTGATTGGTCAACGCAGTTACTGCAAACACAGAAAGTTAAAGTTGAATCAACTCGCCAATTTGTGGAATGCAGAAGAAACGTTTGCGAAATGCGTTTTGCGTGCTGCAACTTATGTTGACAGGGCTTTAAAGGAGTACGGTAATGTTTGCCGTTTTTTCGCGCTATATGTACTGCGCTTAGTGCCAAGGTACGACGGGGAGCACACATTCTTGCATAACGCATAATACATAATGCATAAGAAAATGTACCAATCAAAGTTCTTCGTTTCCTTCCTTGCTATGAAATAAAGACTTCTGATTGGTTGAATTTTTATATGTGTTATGCTTTATGCAAGAGCTGTGCCTCCCGCTTAAAGAAGTAAAAACTCGTAATTCATATATTTGTGGTTTGTTTCTTGTTTTTTTGTCAGGTAAAAACAAATTATGAAAATAAGATCAACAAAAGCGGAAATGAAATTTTTGATATTTTTTTCTTATGTAAATTACATAGTTACCATATATAATCATGGCTATATTACTGATAATGTATCGTTTTACATGTTGATAGCTTCCTATACGTCAGTTTTATCTGTATCTTTTTCATTCTTATTGTTTTCATGATATCTACGGTTTTAAATATAAAATCAGGATATATACACATGCACGCACGAAAAAAATAAATATTTGTTTATGACTGATACTATAGACTTCCTAATTCTTGAATTTATCTTTCTAAATTTATTTTTCTTTTTTGTGCTTCTAAAAATTATTTTTAGCTTTTGTTCAAGAAATATTGTGTTAAATATTCACAAAATATTTCGTCAGCACGTTAAAAAATCAGAGATTATACTCAGGATCATGCGATTTTGATAACATATGTTAAGATTATTGATTTTGGAAGGTGCTAACTTTTTGTAAGCGTTTATCAATATTGTTCAAAAATATAAAGTGCGTGTTTCTAATAATTCTATTCATGTCGACAAAATAATGCGAATACTACCTAAGTTAATTACCTATTCAATATTAATGCCAGTTTGATTGAAGTAATTTCAAAGACACAGCCGATCCCGCATCGGAGTTATCAAGGTGTATTGTGCTTATACATAGATATGTATATGGAGTTGTAACGGACTCGCATGATCGCCAATGTATGTGTGTGCGCATGCCTGCTACGGTACCTTCGCGCGCGTTGCAACGAACGTTTCGAGCGATAGTCCGACACGAACGTCCGCGTGGTATGCGGCTGTCGCGTGTAACTCTCGTAGCGTACGCGACCTATACGGAGTGATTGGCAATCGTTCGAGGTTCACCGTGTGCCGAGAGCGAGCCGGATCAGTGGCCGTGCGCTGTCGACGCTACGCGATCGCGTTGATCGATCTCCCCAGCGGCGATTGGCGGCGATCACTCGACTCCGGTTTATTCAGTATATACTGACGAAATCGAGAGTCGCGCGGAGTCGCTCAACGAATGGACGGCGCGCTCACATTGGCGGTTACGCCGTAATTTAAATTAAATCGCAACCTGAGATCTTCGAATTCTTTGATTGTGCTCGCGCAGATCGGTCGATACGCGCGTCTGTCGCGTGAACATATATGAACGATATGCTTCAGAGTCCGGGCGATATATTCAGTGCTTCCCGATGGTGATCGACGACACCGACGTTTGATCGACGAGCGGTATTTATTATATGATGCGACGGCGGCGGCTACAATGAACGTTCCGATCGTGGCAGGGGACATCGTCGACGATGCTGGCTTCAATCGGCCGCAATTTGTTCGGGTAAGTTTTGATATCACTGCAGTGGATTCCTATATCGAATTTCACGGTCCCGCGACTTCAAATTAGCAAACTTATCGCGCTCGAAGGACGTCGAGGATGACCGTTGAGTTTTCGCTTTTATAGCGCGAGTTATAACGCGGATCTATTGTGAGATATCCTCGAGATTCCCGAGGCACGATCGGTGACATACGTCGATCTCGATATGTTTCCACCGATCCGCCGGAAACGATCGCTCTGTCAAAGGCTACTTTCACTTTCGCTTTTATCTGGCGATGCATTCAGGATCGCGTTTATCGCTAAAATACTGCCGCCACTTATTGTTGAAATGAGTTTTACTTGCGTTGCATTCCTGTCATATTTAGTATAAAACGCGCTATAATCTCTCTGGATGAAAGCAAACGCGATTCGTGCGCAAGAAGGAGAAAATTTAAACGTGAGGAAGGCCTACAATAATCGTAGTCCCGCCTGATCAATGTAAAATAAATATCGAACACGAGAACAGAATGCAATTTACAATGTAAATTATTAACAAGTTAAAAAATTGATTTGCAACGCCACGCTCATGCATAACCTCGTGCATATAACTAATTCTAAGTATCCTTCAGACGTAGGTGTGATATTATTGTACAAACATGTAACACTGTATTAACTATACGTATGTTGTATGCATATGTTAAAATTTTGTCGCGACGGACTGCCGAACGGAAATTTCGTTAGGTATAAAACCGGTTACAATAACGCATTCCATATGATACGCAATTTTGAGAGAGATTGGCTGATAATAAAAGAAGTTATCATGCTTTTCATTGAGATATATTATAGTCTAGAATGTATCTCTTTTCGAGAATTTTTTTATTCTCGTCGAGATCTATTAATTAATTAGTTATTTTAGTAATAGAATAATTTATTTACTTCATATGCTGAGAAAGGATTTGGTTTACAATTTTTATCTTAACCACACACGCGTTTCCATTCATTCCCTATAACTACTTGACTAAATATACAATAAAAAAATGTATAACATATAATTTAACATGTAATACATATGTATTGTATGTACGCTTGTAAGTCAGTGTGACAAAAAAAAGTTAAATTTAAAAATTCTGTAACTTTGTAAGTATTTCATTAATTTTAAAACTTCTTTTTAAATCAAAATGTTATAAACTTTATATTTTAAATATATACAATTTAATCAGATAATGTAATCAATTTTAATCAAATATGAAAAAAATGTTTAACCTATATTCTTTGTCATGATTGTTTTATAATATGAAGCCATTTGTGACAAAAACTGTGATATTTTATATAAAGTTATGTTACAAATAATCGTACTTTCTCATATGTTCTACAGAATAATAGAATATTTGGTATATTAATAAAATTTTTATTATAGTGTGTGTGTGACATTTTCTAAACAATGCAACAAATTTGGAGAAAATACAATATTTAAAAAAAAAAAGTTGTACATTCCAAAATATATTTTTAGAGAAGAATTTATTCTGAAATCTTTCTATTTTTTATTAATTGTTTTTTTTATTTTTCATTAAAATTTCATTCAAATGAAAAATTTAAATAAAACCTACGCATATATAACTTTACTTAACCTTATCTTAAAAATAATGTCACGCTCACATTGCGTGTTTGACGATATACTATCTTAATCACAAGATATTTTTGTGTTGAGAATGTTTGTACTCGCTTCTCTGTAAGTGCAAGAGGATGAGTGATATTCAGCTTTTTTATGTTATAATCATAATCCATGGGATGTTATATATATACTTTACACAATACACTTGAGCCATATGCGTCGCGAGATATTGAGTGCAATCGCGCGTTGAATCTCCGCGGCATTTTGTAGGAAGATTTCACAAAGGTACGACGCATATAGGCATTATCATCATGGAAATAAAAGATAACAATACCTGCCATCCTGCTATGTTCAAAATAATTGTAAACTTGTCTATAGAGCTGCAGATACCAACGTTGCATTAGTCATACATCCTCATTAACATCACATTTTGTCTAGTTGCTTCATATGATTGTAAAGTTACAATTTTAATTACAATTGCATTTATTTATTAAAAATGTTCGACGAACATTCGCTCTAAAATTTTATAACTATACTATAATATAAGAGTATACGATTTTTGCTTACAATGGAAATATAAGATTCACATAACAAATATTATATTAAGTTCGCTTTCGTATGACTGAATATGATTTTCTTTGTTTGATTGCACGTTCAAAGATTTGTATTGTTCATAATGCTAAATTCATAATGTTAAATTACACTACTCAACAAAAAATAGGGAGGGAACACATTCGAACACTTTCGAACAGGCTAAAAATTGGGCAATATTCAGAACATC